AAAAAATATAACTTTTAATTTAAGTGAACTTAAAACAATCTTCACATAAACTATAAAGTGTATATGCATAAACTATATAGATTCATTTTTATTCAAGCTACAAAAGTTAATCAGTGAGCAGAGCAGTGAGTGATTTCTCTTTTTCTTTCTATATATATATATATATATATATATACATTACCATGATTTACACAAGACAACCACTAAAATATCATTCAGTGTAACAATATTTATATACCATTAAATCTTAAGCATATTTTAAACAAGAATCATTTGATGACAAATTAAAAGACTATATTTAAATTTAACAGTGCAGCCCTCAAATACCAATTCAATTTAAATTTTAAATCTTTATACTTTGCTAATGTCCTTCAAACCACTAAGTTTTACCCATTTGTCAGCAAGAAGTTTTTTTATCTTTTATTTTTTTATCATTTAATTAGTTTTAATAATACTCCTGAGTAAATGACGGCAGAAGCAGATGTTGAAAAGTAATAAGCATTTTATTCTACTGTTCTGATGTTCTCTGCCATGCTAGCTAGCGTGCCACTTTGTTTCTGACTGACTTTTTCTGAATTCAAAAATTGCTGCTTGCAGGTATATTTATGAATACGTTCTGTTTGCCAACATACAATAAATGACATTATCAGGATGAGTATTTTGGGTGGAGAATCCCCTCAATGGCCTCTATTGATCTTGTGACATACTTGTAGTGAGGGGGGACTCTGTTCAGCAATATCAATACAGTTATCTTTATTGTTATTGTTGTGAACAGGCTTTAAGAGTGACACCCAAGCTACTGGGTCTGCATTTATTTTATTAGCTTTTTGGCTTTTTACAGTGCCTAGCAGCTCTCTCTGTTTGTGGGCATCTAAAATTAACCAATACCACAAACTAAACAATACAAAAATGCATTAAAATAACAATATTTATTAAGTTTAACACATATTTGTCAGTGCTAAATATTCCTCATTTATCTGTAATATAAATAAGATGCTAAAATTGTTATTTATACAGTCATTCAGTGTAATGGATGACACTGTGGTGTAATAGAGAATTTGCATTACACCAAATGACAAAAAACATTACCCTGAATGATGAAACTTCTACTTCAGCTTATATTGCAGGCAATCAACTGGCCACCTGTATCAAACAGTGAGCTTTACCAGTAAAGTTAACCACAATTATTCACAACATCTACTTATTTAAAAAAAAAAATATATATATATAAGTGTTTTTTTGGCATTTCACTGAATGACATGTGTTTTTGTAACTTAGGTTACCACACCATGAACAGGTTAAATTATCAAATATTTAAGAGCAATAAACTCACTTTTC